GCGGGTGGGCGTGGTGACGGCGCACACGGCGCCGCCGCCGCGCCGGGAGCACAGCGCGACCGTGCAGGCCGGCGGCGGGCGCGGAAGCGAGCGGCAGATGCCGCTGCGCGGAAGGTCCACGGCAGGGTTCCCGAAGGAGGTGAGGACGCAGGTGCCCGACGCGCACGGGCGGGGGGGGGCGAAGCCGCCCACCTGGCACGTCAGGTCTCCTATGGAGATGGGCGGCGGGAGCTGCGCTAGGGCCAGCGGTAGCAGCAGTAGCAGGGAGACGAGGGCGGTGGGAGCCATGGTGGTGCGGGGCGAGGCGGATGGGGCGGGGATGCGGGGGGTAGGTGCGCGTGGGGGCGCGGTTTATATGGTGCGGGGTGCAGGCGGATTTGGCAGATGGCATATGCGGGGTGACCCTGATTTGGGCGAGGCGGGGGCGCGGCGGTACATGCGCCTTGTGCGGGCCCGGGCCCCGGGCCCCGGGCGAGATCTGGGTGTGGTGCGGGGTAGTGGCGTCGAGCTAACGGGAGACTGAAACTATCGGGAGGGGATATTGGGGCGAGCGGATAAACCGAGTGGAGTGGACAGAGACGCGCAGCATGCTGTGCGTTTACCGTCTTTACTCCCTCTGGCCCCCAAGGACGAGGAGGGTACGGCATCGTAACGGTACCGTTGCTGTGTATGGAGCAGTAGCCGAGCTTACTCGGGTCAGTGAGCTCGGCGATCTACATCATACATGTCGCAGTAGCCGAGCTCTCTCGTGCCGTGAGCTCGGCGACCCAGACGCTACCTTTTGATCGCGACGGTGCGACAAGCGCAGCAAGCGCTGTGCACGTCGAGATATGAATGCGGGGCGCGTTTAGATAGGACGGATGCGGAGGCCGCGTGTGGGCGGGCCACGGGCGTGTCCATGCGGCGCCAAGCTCATCATCCGGGCGGGCGGTTTTTGCGTTCGCCATGCGGCGGGCGGCGCGTGACGTCATGCTTTTCTCACGCGGCGGCTCGCGCGGCGGCGGGAGGGGGCGCGAGGGGGCGCGAGGGGGCGCGAAAGCCGCGGCGGCGCGGCGCGGGGCTCCGCGCGCCTGCTACGTTTGGTTTGGACGCCCGCGCTCAGCCGCTGCGTAAAATTTGGCCTGCGGCTCGGTACGTGCGTGGCATGCGGCATGGATTTCAGAGGGCGCGGCAGGTGCGACGAGATAAACTTTACAGTATACGTAAACGAGATATACGCAAGCGAGACTGTTCATGTGGACTGTGAACAGTCGCCCTCTCGAAAGCGGCGCAGGCGTCACATGACGCTTTGCGCCGCTTTCGAGAGGGCGTGTACCGGGCGGCGGGTCCTGCTCCAATCAGCCGTCCGCTGGCTGTAGCTCTGCATGCCATGCGGGTACCGCTAGCCAAGGGGAGGGACAGCTGGCCAACGACCGGAGGGTTGAATGACTGCAAGCCGTATGAAGGAATCATCACACTTCCATGCCCAGAGGAGGCACCTTTTTCGGTCTTTGGCTGCTGCACGGCCAATTAAAACGGTCTCGTTGTTTGTCTCGGGACCAGATTGACAGAGACGCATGAAGATACAACCCCAGGTCACGAGAAGGAAAATGGAGTGGCCACCTCCATGGCCGGTGGACACTGTTAGTATTCGATACCATCCTTGGAACTCCATGATCTTGGTACATGGATACTGGAGATGTTGGACGTGCCAAAAGTGCAGAGAATGTGAGAGGACAAGGATTAATGCTCTAGCGGAAATACACCGTGGAAATAAAGCTGCGACAGGTAAAGTACACTTGCAAGTAGATCGCAGTAAGAAAACGCAAAGACAGATAACCTGCGCCTTCATTCCCAACCTTGAAACGTACCCAGCAGCACCCGAGATGCTGGTCTCCAATCTACTCGCGACAGCACATTGAAAATAGCTTGATGCATCCCTGTTCATCTCTCCATCCCTTTTCTTTTTTCCGCACTTGCCCACCACCACATACACTTTTCACACATATTAACGTTGAATATACATGTACTGTACAAGAATAACGATAGTAGCGGTGAATAGCGACGACCGCAGCCTCACTGTTTTGACCGACGGTATTAGACTGTACGGCCAGGCGTAAGAGGGGTTCGTGAGTTTTAAGGTATGAGACCTCTAGAATGGTAGGAGAAATTAAACCTTTTGCCCACTTAACAACGCACCATGACGAGGCACAATTATAGTTATACCATATATATAGTTATAGACAGCCGATAAAATCCACAACGGCGGTGTCCTACCCTAGGGTACCACGTGCGGCTTATTTAGTGTTTCGTCATGCTATACTTATTATGTGTGTCTAGGACGACCGTCAATTTGACCTCGAGGCCAGCTTGTTTTTGCAAAATATATATAAATTGAATCGAAACTTCAAAAAGTCAGTTTGGACACCATTTCTTTAACATATACGCCCTCGGCAATAACATCTTGCAAAACATTGGGATGGCGGTTGTCAATGCGCAGAGAGACTAAGATTCTAATGAAGTTTCAATGATCAGTTGAATTTTTAAACAGGCGTTTTGGTTTCGAAGATATCAACATAAAACGTTTTGAGGTTGGTCAAAAAGGCTCCCTTTTTGGGCATTTTAAAAATGGCTGGAAAAGACGTGCAGATCTCACTAAACTCCACCCTTCCGCAACGCAGAAGTCAACTGCGGTGGCGGGAGTATCTTTTTCCATCTTGTTGAGATAGCGCAAGTCGAGAAAAAATAAGTTGAAAGTGACCTCATATGAGGTCATTTGTCTCCTAGAGAACTAGGCCCTCAGAAGACCGAAAATTTCTCCAGGCGACAGGAAGGGTAGAAGATACGTGAAGC